AGAGAGAGAGAGAGCGAGAGAGTGTGTCTGTTTGTCTGGCTGACACCTGGGTGGCCCGTCCTATTGCCGTCAATGTCTGCGTCCCACCCGGGGCCCGTGGACGTCGGGCCAGGCTTGTCAGCTGCCAGGGTCCCTGCTGGGGTACGGCTCTGGACCTCCAACTAGATCACATGTAAGACCATCTGTCCCCCTGTGTACAGTGCCAAGCCCTGCCCTGCCCAGCACAACACAGCACTGCCAGACGAGACTCAGAGCAGGGCAGGAGGCACGACAGTGAGTCCTAAACCAGCCGCACTGTTATTCTGACGAAATTCTGCCTCTGCAGAAGTAAAAAAATTGCATACATTTTTTACTAAAGCCACAGGCAGCTCATTTAAAATGTATTTAGATGAGGTACAAGAAACAAAAAGACACAGTTTTAGTGACAGTCTCTCAAAAGCTAAAAGGAAAAACACCAAGAGTGTTCATCGTACCGAAAAGACGACATTGTGTGTCTCTTCTGCTAATTTAATCATCATACAACATTAGCTAACTAGCTTAGCTGGGCATCAAAAACACTGTAACAGGTTTTTACAGGCTTTCTGGCTGATGTCAATTAAGCTTCAATCATGAATCAATTTGTAGCGGCCAGATTTTCAGCCCTCTGTCCTCTACACAGCGCAGCCTGCTAACAGAGCCCTGATGGTCTTTCAGTTCTAATTATGACAACAGAAAAATCCAACATTAAACACATTTCAAATGCAGCCAAGCTACAAATGACTATATACTTCATGATAAACTGTGTTTTTCATTGAGCAAGCTGTTGCTGTGTATTACTGACATTTTTCTGTTGCATTTTTTGGGGCTTGTTTTCCAAATGGTTTTGTTTGTGATGAGTTACGCGGTTAGATTACAAATGATTGTCGGGAATCAGAATAGTTGATCAAGGTGGATCAAACTGTAACAATCTGAATTGAAATTGATCCATTACATCTGTGCGTGTGATTCAGTCACACAGTAGTAGGGTATGCTAGTAATGATGATGAAGATGATATTTCATGTTCATTTTCATGCTGACTTACAAATGTTGCTTTGGGAAAAACACTGAACTGTTCAACACATTCGCTGTGAGAGATTTTCTGTTGTTGTTTTCTTGTATTATAAATTAGTTTGAAGAGATTGAGAGGCCATTTTGGAAAGCTGTGCTGGTGAACCAGTTGAGATGTAAAAGGAGCAAATTCTCAAATAATGGCTGATCACTAATTATTTAAATAGCTTTTCCTTTTGACATTTTTGTAATTATTGTTAAGCAACAGTCAGCAAAACTGACCTCTGTATATTTTACAAATTAAAAGCACCAGGTTATGCCATTTGAGCTGCTGGAAGGCTTTTACTGCTGAACATCTGAACAGGAAGTGTTACCTGTCATTGACAGTAGCTTAATCATAGACGATTAGTGAATGAAAACGGTACTTTTGTTAGAGAAGGGGAACTAAGAAATTATACAGAAGAGAAGTTGTTGTACAGAATTAATGCTGTAAAATATATATTATACTGACATTTGTCACGTAAACATGGAGGGAGTGTTGATTTCACTTTAACAGCAAATTAAAATGGGAGCAGATCAGAAACAAAGGGAAATATGATAAAATATAGTTACATTTTTCTAAATATCTTTTTATACCATACATTTGTTTTAAATAAAGGTCTGGTTCTCCCTGCAGCTGAGGTAAAAGAGTACAACAAATCTTCTCAGTTGCGTGTCTGCATTACAAATCTGAAGAAAGCTTTGCTTTTACCTAATCTCCTTTCAACAAAACTTTTTTTCTCATTTAGTATCAATGATCATTTCACTGAGTGTGAAGCAGCAGCTTGCAGCCAGCACATAAACAGTC